CTCTTTGGAAAGAGTGAGCCTCCCACCTGTGGGCACCTGGGGGGGACTCGGGGCAGCTGGGGCCCCTTGGGAGACATCCATGGCTGTCTTCTCACTCCCCTCTGCAGGGTGCAGGGCTAATGCTTCCTCTTCCTCAGTGCGCCATGGTGGGAAGAAAGGTTGGGTACACTGGTGTGCAGGATGCTGCCTAGGTGAGGCAGGTGAACATGACTAGGGCAAAGAACTCCTTCACTCTCAGGTTCCAGAACCTTCTCCATAACTTCCCCCACGAGTGCCCAGCACAGAGCTGGCACTAAACAGGCACAGGGGCCAGGCCTAGCATCAAGGCTGCTATATTAAGGCCCTGGCAGAGCTGTGGGCATGCTGAAGGCAGCTTCCTCCATCGGGTTGGGGGAGGGGCATGGCTGAGGCACCAATACCCTTCTCTTTGGGTGGAGAGCTTTCCTGATGGCAGCACGGGGACTGGGTGGCTCTAGTGAGTTCTCTAGAGTTGGTGTGGGTGGCAGGGCCTTGGCATGTGGCACAAGCTGCTGCCCTCTGGGTCCAGTCTCCTCTTCCCTTCCATATCTACATGGACTCTTTTGCCCCTGGCATGAGTACATGCTCTGTGACGTTTGCTTACATTCTATACCCACTGAATTCCAAAATGCATGAGATTGAACAAAATGCATGAGATTGAACAAATGTTGGCTGGTGATGCCTTAGATAAACCTTGAAAAAAGGTTTACTACCCTTTTCCTATGTCCTCAGACTTGGCTGGGTGTCACCAAAGATATAAAGAATGAGATGAGTGTCTCAGAAGGCAGGGAGATGACTGACTGGCAACTAGTCTAGCACACAGTGGAAGGAGAGAAAAAAGAGAAAGAGATAGAGACAGTGACACAAAGAGACTGAGAAACAGATCAGGAGAGAGACATAGACAAAGACTGAAAGAGAAAGAGGAAAAGGGAGGAGAGAAAAGGAGAGAAGAAGGGAAGGGAGGAGGAGGGAAGGGGAGGGGAGGAGAGGAAGAGGAGGAGGAGGGAAGGGGAGGGGAGGAGAAGAGGGAGAGGAAGGAAAGGAGGAGGGGAGGGGAGAAGGGGAGAAGAGAGGAGAGGAGGAGAAAAAGGGAGAAGGGAAAAGAAGGGAAGGGAAGAGAAAATAAGGGAAAAGGTGTGTTATGCAATTTATGTATCCATTGTGCATCCTCACTTCTAATGCCTTCATGCTGCCGCCAGCCCAACCTCAGAGCTGGGCTCCACTGGGTAGTCAAGTACTTGGTTCTATTTTTAATGGCAACCCAGAAGCTGTTTGGGAAAAGGCAGGATGATCTGGTGAGAAGAGCTTTGTAGTGAGACAAAGGCTCCAATCTGGCCTGGCTGCCTCCTACCTGGGCGCCTCTGGGCAAGTCCCTGAACCTCTCTGCACCTCCCTTGCTCATCTGCAGATGGGGGTGAAGACAGCGCGCTCCCAGGGATGTCATGGGCAGACCACGCGGTAATGTGCACAAGGCTCTGCACACTTGAGTATTTTGACACTTCCCAGCAGAGGGGCGGGTAGAAGGGAGAGACTTTGATTTGAGGGGTAGAAAGAGGCTAAGACAAGGTCAGCCCTGGTGAAGCTGGGAGCAGCAGACTTTTGCACGCAGCCTTGCCAGAATGCATGGATGCCTTAAGTACACAAAGGGCTGGGCTTTCCGGCCCGGCAACATCATTTATAAGACACGAACATGAAACTGAATCTGTTGTTTGCCAGTTGCCAGCAAACCCTTCAGAGTTCTGCCTTTACGCTCAGAGTCTTATCAGCTGCCTGCTGCAGTATTTCTTTAGTTTCAGCCCAGAGGTTTGATTTTTTCACTTTCTTCTGTTCATTTTGCTTTAGAGGTAATGCTTTGGGATACTTTTCTAGAGAACAGGCGGAAACAATGCATTTTAAACATGAAAGCCAACATGGAGGTAACCCTCCCTCCATGTCCCCAGAAAGTGGCCTAGGGTTAAGGTGCTGTCCAGGCCTCAGCTCTGGCTACTTGCTGGCAGGTGGAGGCATCGTAGGAGGTGAGGTGTCAGGTGGTTGAGAGCTGTTGGTCTAGGGATGTGCTTTTTATGAGATAGGCTGGCAGTTCCCACCCAGGTTGAGGGACTGTCACAATGATTCTAGTCAAGGAATCTTGAACCCACTGTCCCAACCCTGGATCCCACAAACATGTTCTGGCCCTCAGAACTGCTGAGCATTGGGGAATAACACAGGCAGCCCAGTTCTTTCGGTGAGGTCCCCCAGATGGCTCCCTCTGCTAGTGGAGCCAGCTGCCCAGATCAACTTGGGGCTCTCTTGACGAACACCGAAGTGCAAACGGCTCGAGGCAGCTGGCAAGATGCTAAGTGCAGCATTAATCCTAATTAGGATGAGGAATTAATAAAGGAAGCCAGGCTTGCTGGCATGGAGGACTTAGTTTCAGAATTTCCACTGGGAAACTGGAAGGCCCTGGGTCCACGCATACCTTCGGGTCGTGCCAGTGGCATGACTTATGACTTACTGTGCCAGGTAGATGGCACCCGATGGAACTTGCTTGTGAGGTGGAATATGGGGCACTGCAGCCTCTGCTCTGTATCCAACTCAGGTGCTGTAGCAGGTAGTGACGTGGGTACATTCTCCAGAGGAGAGGAGTAGGTGTTCGTGATCTGAGCAATTGCACACTAAAAATGATGTTTTTCAAAAGAAAAGAGGAGGGTGTGATCGTGAGCCCACTGGCTCTTTTGTGTGGCTGTGCTTCTCGAACTACTGATTGAACACTTCTGTTACCTGCAGACGCCACTCAGCCCTGGTATTAGGCTCCAAATTGCAAAGGGCAAAGCAGCCTCTTTCGGGAGTGGGGGTGGGAGACAGAGGTGGGCAGGATCCCCGATGAGATGAGAACAAGCACGGTCTGGAGGGGGAAAGGGGGCCAAGTTGACTTCACTAAGCAGATCCAGCTTCACAAAGCCTCTTTTCAGATGACTTCAAACGCGGCCAGAAGCTCCTTGCCAACCTCCACCAAGAAACAACCGCAGCTGAACTCTGTGCAGGGGCTGAACTGCAGTAAGGAAGGCTAGGTGTGTGGGAGAACTTCCCGAACTGAGGGGCGGAGTTAACGCGGGGAAAGGTTACGGAAAAAGAAAGACGGAATTCTGTCCAAGGGTTTTTGAAAAATCAAAGGAAAGCCTCCACCAACTCTCTCCACCCAGTCCCAGATCTGAGCGCCGCGCTTAAGCAGCAAACCTGTGCCCAACCTGGCCGGGACCAGGCGGCCCCTCCCCAGCCACCTGTTAGTTCAAGTTCCGCAGCCGGGCAGAGGAAGGGCGCCCAGAAGGCGCGGAAGCCGAGCGCATTTTGGCGTTGGAGGCATCCAGGCCCCTCCCCAGTAGGGAGCTGTCCCCAGGGTCTCAGGGCCGAAATCCTGGCTCCTAGAGGCATTCCAACCTCATGACACCTACTACTCAGCCTCCAGTTGCATCTGGGGGTCGCAGCGCCCAGCTCGGACCAGACGACCACGCCCCTCCCAGTCTGTTCCCGGTCCGCAGATCGGCCCTGCACACCCTAGTTTCCTACTGAGGTCTCCGCAGCCTCCCTGCTGAGGGGCCGCGACCGAGGTCGCTGTCTCCGTTGGGGGAGACTCAGTGTCGCTCCCCTCACCACTCCAACGCGCAGCGAGGAGCGGGCTGGTGGCTCTGTGGGAGACGAGGCGGGCGTCGGGCTGGGGCTACCCAGCTACCCTAGATCTGCTCGGAACCCAGCCCCTACCCCGACCCCGACAGCGCCCCCGCCCCTACTTCTGCCCCCAGCCCTCGGCCCGAGCCTGTAAAGAGAGCCCAGCGGCCCCCACGCGCCCCGCCCCCGGCCGGCCCCGCCCCAGGATGGCCAGTTCCCATGGCAATGGCACAGACACCGGTTGCCAAGCAACCCCTCCCCCCCATCCGCTCCCCCCAACCCCAGCCTCCTCCCGCCCCCTCGCCATCCTCCACCTCCCCCGGGGGTGCCGGGGCGGCCCCTGGGGATCGCTCGGGTCCCGGGCTACGCGCGCGCGCGTGAGTTTCGGTGTGTTTCATTGTGTCTGTGGGCAAGGGGGTGTGCGCGTGGAGAGTTTGTGGGATCGGTGTGCTGGGGAGGTCCCCAACCGAGAGGGACCCGAGCTGATGCACAGCTGGCCGCGAGGGGACCCGCCCGCCCGCTCCGGCTCCTTTGTGTCTCGCGTGGAGCCAGCGCCGCGCCCACCCCCTCCCCGGCCCGCGCCCCGGGCAGTGTGTGCGCGTGTGTGTGTGTGTGTGCGCGCGCGCGCATGTGTGTGTATTGTGTGGCGGCGAAGGGTCGGGGCCGGCCGTACCTTCGATGCAGCACACCCGCCACAGCCCAGAGTGGGTGAGGTCGCCGCGGGCGCGGCGGGGCGGGGGCCCGTCGTCCATGGTCAGGTTGGTGCCGTTGCAGATGTGCGCGCTGGAGTAGAGCCAGTAGTCGGTGCCGATGGCGATGGCCATGAGCGAGAAGGCGGCGAAGGCTCCGGCCGTGGTCAGCAGCATCTGCAGCCCGCGGTCGCATCGCACCATGGTGGGCGCCTCATAGTCCGCCGCCCGCCGGCCCGGCCCGCCGCGCCCGCCCGCCCTCCTCCCTCCGCGCGCCGCTCCGGGGGCGCCGGGGTTGGGGGGCCGAGGGCCGGGGGGCGGCGCCGCGCTGCGCTCTCCGACTCCGCGCCCCGGGCGTGCCTGCGCTCCGGCAGCGCTGGGGCTCAAACTCCGAGGCTCGGCGGCGAGTGCGGGCTGCTCGGGCCGCCGGGCGGGCTGGCGGCGGCGGCCGGGGGCTCCTCCCTCTCCTCTCGCCCTCCCCCCTCGGCCAGCGCCTCCGCCCCGCGCCCTCCGCGCCTCCCCCGCCGCCGCCGCCGCCGCCGCCGCGCTCCGGGCCCGCGCCCGGTTCCTCTCGGCGCCGCCCCTCGCTCCTCGGCCCCCGCCCGGCTGTGCGCTCCTCTGCGCTCCCCTCTCTCCCCAGCCCAGATTTTCTTCCCCTCGCCTCCCCTCCCCTCCCCGCGCCCGCGCGCGCTCTCTCTTCCTCTCCCAGGGTTCATTCACATTATTGGAGTGAAGGAAGCCGAGGAAAGGCTTCCCCAGGAGGACCGAAGGGAAAGCGCGTCTCCAGCCACCTCTCTTACCATCCCAGGACATCCGGCCTCCCCTCCGACGGCCCTGCGGATTCTTTAATTTGTGGAGGAGGGCGTGGGTGGGTGTGTCCCTCCTTTCCCCTCTGTGCCTGTTCACCTGGTGATGAAGGTGAGTGTGGGAGTGCGTGTTCAGGTCAGAATTCCTGAAACCCCAGATGTGGGTCACAGCTGCCAGACCCTGCAAGCCACGCCAGGCCCGGGCCAGGCCCCACCCCAACCCAGGTGGCTCCTGCTCCTCCAGATCCCCTTGCAGGACCTGGAAGGACCCAGACTTGGGGTTGAGGGAGAAGGGCGATGCCAGCGAGAGGTCCTTTGGGGAGAACACAGGGTCCCTGCTTTCTAGAGTGGTGGCAAGGCTGAGATTGAAGATGGGGCGCTCCTCCATGCTCACATTTTTGAGGGTCTATTACTACTGGAGTCCAGGAACACTCCAGTTGTGTTAGATTCCAACACTCCACCCGCCAGCCTTTTCCCTCTCTCTCCCAGCCGCTTCGCAATACCTTTATTTCGTTTTGCCTTTTGCTCTACTCGAGCTTAACTGGCTTTCCCTCACCTGGCCTTTATTGCCAGCCTCTGCCCCCCGAGCCCTGCTGGCTTCACTTAATTGTCTTTGCTGCTGGCCATGATCCCAACCTGGACACCCTCCCTTCTCCAGGGAGCCGGTGCTGGCTCCTCCTTCCAGACCCAGCTCCAAAGCCCTCCCTCCAGGAGGTTCTCAGGGCCCAGCATCAGGAGGTGCAGCGCCCTTTGACCTTACATGTCCAGGTGGTCCTGTTGTTGGCATCCCTGGCTGCATTGGACCCCAGGATATGGAAAAAGGTATAGGGAGTCTGCTATTCTTGCAAGATGAAGCTTAACTTTCTTTGTGGCACCTTCCCTGGTCCCCACTCCCCGTGTTAAAATCACTGTTCTCTGTCCCACGAGATTGTGAGCCTTTCCTATGACTAGCACACATACTAGCATAAATGTTTGCTGAGTGAGAGGTGTTTCTTGCCACTTGGACAATTATAGTCTAATTGGGAGGAATAGATCATATACATAAAGGGGAAAAACCAACATCACAAGGTGACAGAGCCTGAGGACCAGACTGGCTGCGCCAGTAATTGTTTATTGGCCCCCTCTGCCCCTTGGGGTGTCTATTCTGCTTTCCAAGTCACGAAGGACAAGTCTCATCACCTCTAATTTACTTTAACTCACCTGCTACCGGGTCTGGGGTTTTGCACACAGCAGGTGCCCGACGTATGTCTAAGTGGACCAGAAGGTGTGAGATGGGTTTGCTGTGACCCAGAACAGGGCTACCCACCTCCAACCCTAACAGCCACTAGGATTAAGTCTTGGTTCTGTTCTCAGAAACTCCAGGAAAATGAATCCCGTTCTTCTCTCCTTCTCCTCCCCCTCCTCCTCCTTCCCCTCCTCCTCCTCCTCCTCCTCCTCTTCCTCCTTCTCTTCTTCTTCTCCTTTCTTCTTCTTTTTCTAACAAATCATTGTTTCAAATTAAATCATAAATGGAAGCCCAATTAAACAAACCAGGTCTCCCATCAATTAGCCCTATAGGTAAGGGCTGGCATGGCTCTGGCTGAATAAGGGGCTCAGGGCACTGCAGTCCCCAAAGCACCTCTCTAGACCCATTCCACAAAGCATGGTGTGAAAACCCATTTCCTGAGCCAGCCACTGGGTTACTCAGGAACATCCCCCTCCACCCTGTCCCACTTGCAGCCTTCGTCGGGGACTTTGGGAGAAACGAATGTATGTTGCATGAACCTGCTCTTCAGGGGTGGAGAGCAGCAGCTTCCCCCATTCACCTATGAGATGGCAGAGATGACACTTAGGTGGAGGGGCCCTCCTCCAAGCAAGCAGTCCTCATGTTCATCCCATGGGAGACAAAACCGAAATCTTCCTTCATCAGAACCTTGGTAGACCAGCTCTCACTCCTCCACTTACAGAAAAGTGTGCGGGAGAGTTGAGAATGCACTGGACCAGAAGCCAAGACAGTCACCTTCGCATGCTGGCTCTGCAACTAACTAGCAAGGTGATCTGGACAAGCCGAAGACACCTGGGAAAACGATACCTCTCTAAGAGTGCAACTTTCTGAGTTGTTTCAAGGGTTGGTGGGGCATGGTGGCTCACGCCTGTAATCCCAGCACTTTGGGAGGCCAAGGCAGGGGGATCACTTGAAGTCAGGGGTTCCAGACCAGCCTGGCCAACATGATGAAACCCCATCTCTACCAAAAAAAAAAAAAAAAAAAATTAGCTGGTCATGGTGGTGAGCACCTGTAATCCCAGCTACTTGGGAGGCTGAGGCAGGAGATTCGCTTGAACTCGGGAGGCGGAGGTTTCAGTGAGTCAAGGTCATGCCACTGCACTCCAGCCTAGGTAATAGAGTGAGACTCCATCTCAAAAAAAAAAAAAAAAAAAGAGTTGTTTCAAGGGTCAAAAAAGCCACCTTGGGCCGGGTGTGGTGGCTCACAGTTGTGATCCCAGCGCTTTGGGAGGCTGAGGCGGGCAGATCACAAGGTCAGGAGATCGAGACCATTGTGGCCAACATGGTGAAACCCTGTCTGTACTAAAAATACAAAAATTAGCTGGGCTTGGTGGCAGGCGCCTGTATTCCCAGCCATTCCGGAGGCTGAGGCAGAAGAATCACTTGAACCCAGGAGGTTGAGGTTGCAGTGAGCTGAGATCACGCCACTGTACTCCAGCCTGGCGACAAAGCGAGACTCTGTCTCAAAAAAAAAAAAAGCCACTTTGCATGTCGTGTACACTTAGCTGCCATTTGTGGACTGGGCAGTAAATTCTGACTTTTCTGCCTTTTATTTTGGAGACAGTGAGCCCAACACTGTCTAGGAGGCATATATTACATCCACTTTTAAAAAAATTTTCTTTTTCTTTTTTTTTTGAGATGGAGTCTTGCTCTGTCACCCAGGCTGGAGTGCAGCGGCACAATTTTGGCTTACTGCAACAGCACAATTTTGGCTCACTGCAACCTGTACCTCCTGGGTTCAAGCAATACTCCTGCCTCAGCGTCCTTAGTAGCCAGGACCACAGATGTGTGCCACCATGCCAGGCTAACCTTTGTATTTTTAGTAGAGACGAGGTTTCGCCATGCTGGACTCCTGGCCTCAAATGATCCACCCACCTCAGGCTCCTGAAGTGCTGGGATTAGAGGTGTGAGCCACCTACATGCACTGTTAATTCTCACTCTCACCCCCTGACGACACCAGGGGAATCTGAGGTGCAGAGCTTGAGTAACTTGCCCCAGGTTTCACACCTGGAGGGTGGTGGGGTCAGATCCTAGCTCAAATCTCCGTGACTTCAAGGCCAGAGTTTTTCCAAGGACGCTAAGCAGCCTCTTTGCCATTGTTAAGTACTGCTGGGCTGTGTCATTATTATTACCTGTTAATTGGGGGGGGGACCCCAACGGGAGCTCCACAGTTTGCCTTTCTGTTTGTGGACACCCACTGGCAGCTGCGCTTGGTCCTGCGGTTATGAGGGTGTAGACTGTGGAGTCGCATAAGGACTTGACCGCCGGCACAGGGAGCTGGAGCAAACCCAAGACTGACTGAGACCATTCATCATGCCTGGGTGAGCACAATTTAAATCTGGAAATTTCTGCTCAGCCAGATTAGAGAACTCTAAATGACAGTATTTAACTGCTGCCTGAGGACCCTGGAGTTTCTCCCATGTGACACTTCCAGAATTGAGGGAGGGATGTGCTCTTCTCTTGCCTAGGAGGAGGTCCTGGACTGGTCTTGTGGGGAGACTGGACACTTGGCATCCTCTCCCGCTGTGAACTGCCCCCCAACCCCCGCCGTATAAATGTTACTGCTGGGGGTGTGAACAAGTAAACATGTATTATTACCTCCCTTGCCAGCTGAGAAGGTGGCAATATTTGCCAGTCCCTTGGACCAGTCTCCCAAACCATCTTTTTCCACACGTGGTGGTGTCTTTCCTTCTTACTGAATCATTTAGGTAATTACCTCAATTCTTCACTTTACTTTGGCTATGAAGACAGAGCCTTAATGAGCCCAGAGCCCTGAAGAATCCCAGCTCCGTGGTGAGGCAGCCAGGCGGCGGCCATGGGAGGGGAAGACGGTATTAGGGTGCTCACGTTGCGTAACCTGCACGTCCAAGCGGCCAAGCCAGCTGCATCTGCAGCCCGGACGAGAAGACGGGAGAGGCCCTCCACCAACCAGGGGAACGCAGTCACTTTCTGCAGCAACTCCCAAAGCCTTTAGGTAAAGCTTTGTTTTCTCCCTTTGTCCTCCAGAAATAATGACCTTTGTGTGTCAACTTTTGTAGTATCTCATTTCTGAACCCAAAGCAGATGGTTCTGGTGATTTCAGAAGGCTTAGTGAGGGGATTTGAGGAACCTGGGTGAGATCTCAGGTGAACTGACACAAAGCATGGTTTCTAGTTTCTATAGCCAAGGCTTGGGGATGAGGCTCAGAAGATTCTGGGGCTTGGCTCTGTGTGGAGGGTTATCTGCAATCCATGCAGCCTGCTCAGCCTTCAAGAAGAATGCCTGGAGATCCAGGTCCTGACAGCCTCCCCTGCATCAGATTATGCACGCTGCAAGGATGACTTTCTTTTCTTTTTTTTTTTTTTTTTGCTTCAGTATTTCAGTAGGCTCCTTTGAGGATGAGAAAATGCTCCATGGCTTTATGTATTCAAGTTTATTCCATTTCATTTGCTTATCACAGATACCCCATTCAAGGTGATGGAAGCTGGATATACAGCATTTATTTTTCCAGCTCAGCTGTGATAAAACGGTGGCACACTCACCATCTCCATGCCAGGCCAGGACTTAGAAGTGCAGAGAGAAAGGAAATAGCATTTTGTGAGTGTCCTCTGGGTGCCAGTCATTGAGTCCCTCATTTCAGTTATCCATCACAACAACCATATAAAGAGGACACTTTTATCCCCGTTGTGTAAGTGGTGAACTTACAGCTAAACAGAGAGCAAGTCACTGAGCCAGGATTTGAACCCAGCTCTGCCTGGAGCACAGCTGGGCTCTATCTGCTACTACACTGCACCCCAGTCCCCGAAGGGCACAGCGGCCACTTTGTCCACTTCTCCTTCCTCCCTTCCTCCGCCTCACATATTTATCCAGATGAAATCAATTTCAAATGATGATCAAAGTCACATGAGGGGCCGGGCGTGGTGGCTCACACCTGTAATCCCAGCACTTTGGGAGGCCGAGGTGGGTGGATCACTTGAGGTCAGGAGTTCAAGACCAGCTTGGCCAACATGGTAAAATCCTGTATCTACTAAAAATACAAAAAAGTTAACTGGGCATGGTTGGGTGGCAGGGAGGGGGGCTCCTGTAATCCCAGCTACTCAGGAGGCTGAGGCAGGAGAATCACTTGAACCCAGGAGGTGGAGGTTGCAGTGAGCTGAGATCACACCACTGCACTCCAGCCTGGGCAACAGAGTGAGACTCCATCTAAAAATAATAAAAATAACAAAATTCACATGAGGGTGGAGAGGTTAGGAGACAGCTGTGCTTTTTAAGCTATGGCGGTGGGTCTGGAGTTTGGGGTTTGGAGAAGGCTCCCCATTTCCTGGGCAGGTAGGAGTGAGCTGGGTTTATGGCAGGCAGGTTCTAGAAGCCACCAGCCTTGGGAGCCCACCCTTCTCTTCCTCCCTCCTGGCTCTTACCCCCAGCACCTGCCCTGATGCTAGCCAGAGTGGAGGGCGGAGGGCCAGCCCCTGGCCCAGGTACCCAGTGGCCCCTCTGAGGTGCCTCTGGTCTCTGGCTGCTACCCTCTCCTGGGCATTTTCCATTTACTGTGATGGCAGGAAAATCCAGTATCCTTAAACAGCAAACAACACAGTGAACTGTGAGTGAAGTACGTGTGGGCTTATCCAGACCTGTGTGTTTGCAAACCAGATCCCAGTATGGACTGTGCCCTGCAGGCAGTCTCCCTTGCTAGAATCTGTTCTGGAACCAGCCCGGTTGATGAGCATGTTGATATTAACAGCCTGGCTTGGCCAAAGCTTCCGGCGCAGCACGCTTTAGTGTCGGCTGGTTATTCTGAGAACATTCTTTTCAAAACACTCTACAGGACAAACAGACCGAGAGGTTCCTTTGTCCACAGCTGGCCTCTGAAACTGAGCTGACTCTCAAAGGGTTGAGAAGAACCCCAAGGAGGAGATCGTCTGCACTCAGAGGCTGAAACGTTTGAAAACAGGTGCGGGAGGGGGCGGGGAGGATGGTCAGTGACAGCACATTCTTCAGCAAACATGTGTCATTTGTGCTTTCACCAAAGCAGAGCTTTTAATTCCTAAAATATAACAGCCTGGTGCAGGGGCTGGAAGAAGAGGGCGCATTTTATGGGCAACTCTGCTAAATGCTTGGTTGCTGAATGAAAGGTTTGGTTCCGCGGAGGTCCAGGTACCTTCGCCTTCAGAACCACACCTTCCTTTTCATCTCCAGCCTCCCTGGGCTGTCAACTGACTGCTGGGGGCTGGGGGGTGGGTTGCTCTTGGCCCTCCTGTAGCTATGCTTGCTACTGGGTGGGAGGGCTTGCTTTATACTGCAGACATCTTTCTGGATTGTTGCTATCAATTGACTACTTGCCCTCTGCCTCCTATGTCCGTGATTCCTGCTTGTCACAGAAGAACTGCTGGGTCTTTATTGCTTTTCTCTCCAAGGCCTTTTGATGAGGCAGAAAGGAAAGGTCATCAGATTCAGGCTGACCTGGGTTTCCACTTCTGCTTTGTCATTTGCAGCTGTGTGGCCTAGGACTAGTGGCTGAACCTCTCTGGGCCCCAGTAAGATGGAAAACCAAACATGGGCCTCATCGGGTTGGTTATCGTGCAGATTCAATAAGCCCAGGGAAAACATTAACACAAAATGCTAATAGCTGATGCTTACTGAGCTCTTTGTGTGTACCGCACTCTATTTGATGTGCTTGGCCATACATTAACTTATTTGATTTTTTCCAAAATTCTTAGAGATCGATACTGTTATCAACCTCATTTTACCGAAGAGGTAACGAAGGCATGGACAAGGTAAATTGCTTGCCAAGCATTGCCCGATTTTAAGCCTCTGCAGTCTGTATACAGAACCTGTGCTTATAATTTTGATTTAAATACTTACTAAATGAACAGTAACTTTTATTATCTTGCTCGTTAATACTCCCTGACAACTAAGTTGTCCTCAACTGCCAACAACCACTGCTTATCCTCAACTGCTTATCCTTAACTGCCAACAGTCACTGATGTCACTGGACTCAAGCACCCTTTGTAATACAGACCTATTAATTTATCTATTCCAGAAATATTGTTATTGTTCCTCCCCCCCCCCTTTAGCAGAGCCCTCCCTATTGGTTCATATTGTCCCCTGGGAACCTATGTGGGTCTTCTTGGGGATGAAGACATTATTGAAATCATTGCTGGCTGGGCGCTGTGGCTCACGCCTGTAATCCCAACACTTTGGGAGGCCGAGGCGGGTGGATCACCTGAGGTCAGGAGTTTGAGACCAGCCTGGCCAACACGGTGAAACCCCGTCTCTACTAAAAATACAAAAAAAAAAAAAAATAGCCTAGTGTGGTGGCAGGCGCCTGTAATCTCAGCTAGTTGGGTGGCTGAGGCATGAGAGTCACTTGAACCTGGGAGGTGGAGGTTGCAGTGAGCTGAGATTGTGCCATTGCACTCCAGCGTGGGCAACAAGAGTGAAACTCCATCTCAAAAAAAAAAAAAAAAGAAAAGAAATCATTGCTGTCAGTTGCAAAAACTCTCTTTAAATTCCTTTCTTGTCCAGGAAGTGGCGGCAATGTGTGATATAGGAAAAAGGCTGTGGCAAGCAACTCAACTCTTCCAGGCCCACTCATCCCAGCAATCCACTGGCAGAGTGGCACCTGCTTTGGTAGAGCTGCTATGAGATTTGAAGAAGACATTGGTGCCCAGCTGACCCAGGCAAGATAGTCTGGCATCAGCAGATGTCACCAGGAGATGCACATAATACAAAATAAGAAATCATATTTACTAATGAATGAGCAATGCTCCTGGGGTCCTGGGGGCCTCTTCAAGTGGTCTGCAGGATCACTGGAGTGTCTGCCCAGAAGCACTTGCTCCCTGCATGACTGCGGTGGGCCTCAGGGCTTCCCCATGCCACCCTAGCCCACCCAGGGCGGTGCCAAGCCGAATAAGTTTTCAAACACTCGTATCTGGTTCTGTTCTCGGCTGAATCTGATAACAGACCATTTCCAGATAAACAGGATGGTAGACACATTGACTTCCTAGAGGAGATTTCTTTCTTTTTTTTTTTTTTTTTTGAGACAGTCTCACTGTGGCCCAGGCTGGAGTGCAGTGGCACCATCTCGGCTCACTGCAAGCTCTGCCTCCTGGGTTCACGCCATTCTCCTGCCTCAGCCTCCCGAGTAGCTGGGACTACAGGCGCCCATCACCACGCCCGTCTAATTTTTTGTATTTTTAGTACAGACGGGGTTTCACCATGTTAGCCAGGATGGTCTTGATCTCCTGACCTCAGGTGATCCACCCGCCTCGGCCTCCCAAAGTGCTGGGATCACAGGCTTGAGCTACCGCGCCCAGCCCTAGAGGAGATATTTTAAATGCTCTAGATCCTTTAAAAATTCAAGGAGAGATTTTTTTTTTTTTAATTTTTTTTTTTTGAGACGGAGTCTCATTCTGTCACCCAGGCAATTGCGCAATCTCTGCTCACTTCAACCTCCGCCTCCCGAGTTCAAGCGATTCTCCTGCCTCTGCCTCCCAAGTAGCTGGGATTCCAGGCGTGCACCACCATGCCCAGTTAATTTTTGAATTTTTAGTAGAGACAGGGTTTCACCATGTTGGACAGGCTAGTCTTGAACTCCCGACCTCAGGTGATCTGCCCGCCTCAGCCTCCCAAAGTGCTGGGATTACAGGTGTGAGCCATCGCGCCCGGCCTCCTCTAGAGAGGTATTCTTTGACTGGTGCTGTATCTGTTGGGAGTGTCATCACCTGGGGAGTGGTAAGGCCCATGACTCAATTACCCTCTTGCAGCCTTGGTACCCAGAGGTAAGGACTGAATTGCTCTCTTGCAGCCTTGGTACCCAGAGGTGAGACCTTGAGGCTGTTCTGCAGGTAAGGGAGGTAACAGTTCCAAAGTACCGGTTCTGTGCGTGGATGGAAGCAGCTGCCTGGCCGGCTGCCTTGCTGGAGTGTGCTGCATACTCAACACCAGCAGTCTCTTGTCCCGGAAGATGGGTTCGTGATGGAAGATGATTAACAGCAGCTTGACTTTGTTGAACAGTTACATGTGCTGGGCACCTTAGGGCAAGAAAAATGTTTTTATCCCCCATTTTAGAGATGGTGCAACTGAGGCTTTGGGAGGGCAAGTAACTGATTCCAGGTCACAGCAAGTAAGTAAAAGAGCAAGGACTCCAGTCTAGGACTGCCTGTGTCCAGGGGACATAGTCTTCCCATAGCTCAATAGTTTTCAACCCTGGATGCCCTTGACCACGACGTGGGAGATCTTAGAAATATATGCCCCACTCTCAGGTATTCTGACAGTGCTGGAGTGGGGCTGGGCTTTGATATTTTCTGAAGCTCCCTAGTGATTGCTAATGGGCAGCCCAGGCAAGATCAAGGGCACGAAGTCATGATGCCTTTGGACCCAAGATCTCCTGGAAATTGTTTGATTTTCACCAGAATTCATCTTTGGCAGATACAGCCTGGCTCAGACGCTGTGGTAACTATCAAGGACTGCTGGGCTGGGGGTTCCTGGATTCACTTGGGGGGCTATACCACAGGTGAGTACAGAAGACAGCAGTTAAGCTGGTGTGACCTGGGAGATTCCACAAGGTTCTTATTGCTACCTCCGGCTCTGCTGCTCAGCCAACTCCCTCTGCCCCAGTATGGGTCACACTGTCCCCAAAGGTGGGAAATGCCCAGCAGGGAGAACGAGGGAGGCCCCTGGCTCTGCCTTTAGAAGGATTCCTAGGAGGGGAGAGCTTGAGATGCAGGGGCCAAGCCAGCACCCTCTCCTTTACCAACTTGCCCCACTGGGAATTGTCACTGAAGAAGACTCTTAGAAGCTGCGAGGAGAACTGGTCTCCGCCCAGGTGGCTTACCTGGGGAGCTGGGGAGCTTTGGTATCAGACCAGAAGACTTGAAGGGTGAGAGTGAGAGAGAGGCTGGTGGG